AATCTCTTATCAAAATTTCGGTTAGTGTCGATTTTACTGTTGTTGTTGTTTTTTGTCTTAAATTATATTATAAACAAAATAGAGCTTTAAGAATAATATCATTCAAACAAAATTCCAACATATAAAAGGCCATGACGTCTTCTTATCAAATAAACTCCACCTTTTGGATTGTTTTCACTCTGGGTTAGAGAAAGTTAAATTTTTTTTAGCTTTTATAGTGACTTAATGTTTTTCATCAGTGCTATAATGTTTCAATTTTGAGTTTTCCGACGAAGCAAGCACTATCGGATATTTTTCTATTAATTTTGCGTCAAAAAAACACTTTTTTACATTTTCCAAAAAAAATCATATTTTCACGAAAAACCAAAGGCTATATCCAATGCATTTTTTTCTATTGTCCAAAAAAATCATATTTTCACAAAAAAACAAAGGCTATAGCCCATGTTTTTTCCCAATTCTGAAAATAATTATTTTTCTTCATATTTCAATACAAAGATGTCGTTGATGTAAGACTTTCAAAATGGAGATCCCTATATTAAAATTCTCAATTGTTATTTGATAAAAGCTTATCAAAATTTCGGTTAGTGTCGATTTTACTGTTGTTGTTTTTTGTCTTCAATTATATTATTCACAAAGAAGAGCTTTTACAATAATATTATCAAAACAATATCCAGCATGTAAAAGGCCGTGGGGTCTTCATATAAAATAAACTACACCTTTTGGATTGCTTTTACTCTGGGTTATCGAAAGTTCAATTTTTTTTAGCAACAAACGAGCTAATGTGGAGGATTTCTGTGGAGAGCCTCAGAGAGGAGATGTGGAGAACAAAGATACTATAAAAGAGTTGTAAGGGTAATATTCAGGCAAAAATAATGGGCATGAGTCAGACTGACAGGTGATTCGGAAGCAGCCCCCAAACAGGCAATGTGAAACCTAGCAACTTTTGGTCCAAAAATGGAAAATGATATGAAGTGCAAACTGATCTGAAGCCCATGGAGGACAATGCATGCAAATACCATTGCTTAATTGTGAGGCAAGTTGATCAGCATGAGTCCAAATATCAGGGGATCGAGGAAAACCAAGAATGGATGGGAAGATTGGACATGTAACAAGGAAGGGCGTGGCTCATACGAAATAGGAGAAAGGGATAAAATGTCACATACCTGAGAAACAAAATCCAACAAGATTGAGTTAAACCTGATTCCTCAGGCGGTGGATGGGAAGATACGGCAAAATCAGTTAACGGAAATAGACAATCCATGTCCTCATCAGACTGAACAGGCTCTGCCTGTTCGGTAGGAACTGGGACAAGGTCCAAGGAGAAAGGCTGGCTCATGTAATGTTCGATCTCCCAGTAGATAAACGCAAATAAATCCAACATTGGGTTGCCTGCACCTGAGGCCTGAGAAACAATGCTAGTCATTGGTGTGACCCTCAAAGTGGTAACATGAACTTCAGAATTCACTGTGAAGAAGAGTCCACAAATTCAAGCAGTGAAAAATAATAATGCGACTGGAACTAACTGATAAAAATTTAAAGTGAAGAAACTGTCTAAATGAAAACTAAATAAATTAAAGAAAACCACTTCATGAGGAAACTTAAGCCAAACGTGAATTTTTAAACAAACAAGAAGCACTTCCAAACACAAACACTGCCAAACAAGAAGTGATAGTTTGGTAGAAGAGTATAGAGGGAGTCACATGCATTTCGTGAGCATGTCATGCTCCTTTTGGTGGAGAAGTGACACATGGTGATTTGCATGAGACACACACTGGAATCTTTCAATTTCAACAGAAGGCTTGTGGCATGCATAAAAAAAAGTTAGCATATAGAAGGCTACAATGAATGAGAATAGCTAGTTATGTGAGAGGAAGTAAGTACTGTATCAGAACTATAACTTTCTGTTTTGTAAATCATCATAATTTTTTTTTTTCAAAATAATAAGTTCCTCCAGTTTCTGGAGTTTTAAATTTATAGCATCAATTTTTAGTACGGAATCTTAAAGTTCAATCAAGTGCCCACTTCTTCACCAAAGGAATACTCATTTTCTGAAAATGATCCTCCACCAAATATTTTAACAATCTTAAGGTTCTTAATTCTTTCTTACTCCAAAAATACTGTTTTCTGCCATATTGATGATCTTATATGTTAATCATTTATACTATTTGTCAGCATGTATTTCAAATAATTAAGCATATTTAATCTTTCAGCAAATGAAATCCAAAGCTTAAACCTTTAATGTTTAACTTTAAGAAAAATTACAATAAACATTTTTAGAAATTCATCTTGTCTGGTGTAAATCAACAAAATTAAACAATTTTAAAATTATTTACTAAAACACGTTTGATGCCAAAGTCAATGGGAGCTGATTTCCCTCTCCTCACAACCATCAAATTAAACTCTCTATAAAAGATCCCAAAACTTAAACTCTTTAAGATTTACCAAACTTTATATTAGCTATTATTTGTAATCGATATTATTGTTTGAGGTAAAGAAGACAGATTAAAATGAATCTAATAAAATTAAACCTGAGCTTAGAGGATACTTTTATTGAAACACTAAGACCTAATAATTCAGGCTCTGATAAAGCTAACTCATGAACATAACTTTTGTTCAATAAATATATAGATATGAAAAGTCATCTTTACTTTTGATGGGCTAAATGATTTTGAATTCTATAAACTACATGGATCTCAACTTCCAAGGTGACATTCAAGCAAACCAAATGCATAAAAGTAAATTGGAGGGCTTGACAAATGGGACTGCCATAATTCCAGTTTATCTGGCCTTCTTTTTTATGAGAATAGCTATTTGTTTCGAGGTTTGGCTGGGAGCTTGTGATCTTTTGTCGTGTGAATCTTCATCAACCTCAAATCCTTGATTATATGCTCAGCTTCTTGCACGTTTCTCACTTTCACTGAGAAAACTAAAAGCTCCCTTCCCTAAAATGTTGTGTGCTTTCGCCATATGAATATCTCTCCACAAAAAAGGCTGTGACATCCTCCTCTAGCCATAAGGTTCCCATAATTCAATTGCACTTTTGAATTATCAGAAATTTGCTATTACAATATAAATGTGCTGGCTTGCTTCAGCAGCAGCACATCACTATATCATGTAAATTATTTTTATAAAGGGCAGTTTACTTTCTATGCTTATTAGACACATATTCCACATACTAGTATTCAAAATATAACTTTGAAAAAATACCAGTTGAAGTTAAAATTACCATAAGAACTTGAAAACAAAACACAATTACAGCAAAAAAGTTGTTTCCTGTAACTACAAACTTTACTTTCATCTTAAATTTACAGAAAATACATTTTTCATACACTCACTACTTGTACAATATAAGTGAAGAAGACAACCAAACTTATATAATCATTAGTTTATACATTCTGTGTTCCTACATTTTTACTTTCTACTTTAGATTCTAGGGACAACTGTTCCAGCTGTGATAAAATGTCAGACTTCTTGTCATTTGAGTGGTCAGAATCTACATCCTGCTTGGAAGATAAAGTGTGTGAAGTTCCATTATCTGGACTGTCAGGACTTTTCTCTTCCTGCTGGATTACAGATGAAACTATTTGGTGAAAAGGTTCTTCAGATGTTGGCTGGCCCTTCCTTTTTTCTACTTTAGCATATCTGATTTCTTTCATTACTTCCTCAAGAAGAATATTAGTTAAGCTATTTTTATTGATTTCTTTCTTTGTGGGAATGGGAGGAAAAGGATTTCCTATTTTAAAACAAAATAGCAAAAAAAGAAAAATTATAACTACAAAACACACAGAAAAGTTATACTTTTCATAAACTGAAAATGTATTTCTGACACATTACTTCCCTCCTCTCACAATATTAGCTATTCTCATTCATTGCTGCTCTCTATATGCAAACTTTTTTATTACGTATGCCACAAGCTTTCCACAACACCCTATTGGAATCAAATGATTCCAATGTGTCTCTCATGCAAATCATCATGCGAGGGAAGAAGATAGACAACCCTAAATCCATGTTGACTGATTCACTTGAAATCTAGAAACATCCTGCGTGGTACTGACATCCATGCAAGGGTAGGATGAAGGCTCCCAATCTATTGGGTAAACTGCATTTTGACCTCTCACTCCGTTGTATGGTTAATCTCAAATCAGAGGATATTACATCACCTACACCAGCAGAACACCACTGCCCTACTCTGAACTGAATGGCTATAGCCACCTTATGTGGAACCCATCCAGCAGGATGCCTCCATGCTCAACCACCCTAGTGGTTTGGAACTAGTATGTGGTAAGGACTCCCATACTCCTCTGAAAGAAAAAGGGGGCCGAGAATGCGTTGGAGAGCCCAGAGAAATGTCAACACTCAAGACAGTACAATGGGTGATCACAAAACCCTATTTTGAAAAGCAAACATTACCGATTTATTCAATCAAAGCATGGCAGGGATGGGCAGTTACCCCCTTCTGCTTTACCCATGAAATCCTTGGAAGGTATGGTCTGGGACATGCGAAATCATGAAGCAAGTATCGCAAAATTATTCACCTACAAACAATCTTGTGAAATGCCTCATCTCAAAGGTGAGCATGTGAAGCCATAGAAAGGAAAGCACTAGCAACTGATGATGACAAAACCCTGTCGAAACATTGTACATTTGCTGTTATGTTAAAGTTTTTCTTCATTACCCATTCAAGCCGTCTCCAAGCATTACTACAGTGTGGTTTTAGAGTTAAAGAATACCTGGTCAGGCACCACTTGCCACAGAATAAGATCCATGTAATGAAAAGAAAGGATTAATAAAGACTTACCCAGGATGCATGTCTGAAGTACAACCACAGGAGGAAGGTGAGAACCTGAGGAAGCTGACACTGCGATATGATGTAAATAATGAGAGATGAACATGTTAAGGTTGGTCCATATACCCGGTTGTAGGATTTCCTCTAAAGGCCAACGAAAACAAGAAGCTAGGGAAAAGGCGAGGTGTCAGATTGGATGAGAGGTAACACATTACAATGTAGGGTGAGAAGGAGACATGGAGAAATAAGCCACCTGGTTCAATCAATGAACCCAATTTGTGAAGGTAAAAAGGGTGGTCATGCGAGCAATATAACAACAAAGGGCATGCACAGGACATAGAAGTCTATCCGGATCAAGATATGGATAGAGATGAGAAATAGAGGAAAGGAAAATAAGCATAAATGAGGAGTTACCTTCATGAGCCACCAAGGAAGGAAGGAACAATCTGAATAAAGGAGAAGATAGGTATGATGTGTGTGCATAACATTGATGGCGAACAAGTCAAACTGTCAACACCCACAGGCCAAAAGGAGAAAGAAATATGCCTTAAGGGAAAGGTGAAACAAACAACACAAGGAAATAGGTTCAAATGGAGGTAAGGTAAAGGAATGGGGGACCACATTAATGCCCCAAACTGGAAAAGCCAGTCACAGTGGAGGTCAACGAATCTGGAAGGAACAAATTAAGATGGTAAGGACGGGTGAGAGAAAAACCTTGCAGTAATGGAAAAGATGAAAGGTATATGATAAATTTGCCCGATGGAGAGGATGTCCCCAGAAAATCCCTCAGAATTTCTGTGAAGAACCTCAGAGGTGGATTGTGGAAAGGTGCCGCAAATTAGTCATGAGGGTAAGACGGGAGTGGGAAAATTGGGCATGGGTGAGACTAATGGGAGATTCAGGGCCTGCCCCCAAACATGTAAAACCAAACCCAACAGTTGTTGGTCGAGATAAGGACAGACAGCCTTATGATATGCAATGGCAAACTGATCTAAAGCCTGTGGGGACAAAGTATACTAACACCATTGCCCAACTGAGGGACGAATTGTTCAGCATGAACTTGAATTGCGGGGAATGGAGGGAAAACCAAATAGGATGGGGAAGTATATTCTTGCAGTAATGAAGGATGCTGGTCAAAAGATATGGGAAAAAGGGATAAAACATCACATACCTGTGAAATAAAGTTTAAAAACTGTGGAAGGCCGACCACAATCCTTAGGAAAGGTATGGAGGTGGAAACAAGCAGTCAAAGTCCTCGTCAGCCTGCACATGTTCAGGAGAAAAGGGGGAAATGTCTGGAGGTAGAGGTTGACCCACATTACATTCAATCTCCCTGCAATTAAACATAGACAAATCTCTCCACGAGTCACCAGCACCTGAAGTGCCTGTCAATTGGAGACACCCAAAGTGGTGACATGAACTTTGGAATTCATGTTGTATCAGTTTACAAAAACATTTGAAGTAAGAAATAAATGCAACTAGAAAAAGGGTAATTGAACCTGAATGCTTGCAACAAAAACTGAGTATGAGAAATTAAAACACTTTGAGAAATAATTCAATCTCAAACACTAATCAATAAAAAAAAAAGATGTCCGAGTGCAAGTGCTGCCAAAACGAGAAGTGAGAGTTCGGTAGAGGTGCATAGAGGGAGACACATGCTTCACATGAATGTATATTCTCCTATTGGTGGAGAAGTGATGCATGATGATTTGCATGAGAAACACGTTGGAATCATTTGATTTCAATAGGGGGTGCGGAAGGCTTATGGCATGAGTAATAAAAAAAGGTTTGCATGTAGAGGGCAGCAATGAACAAGAACAGCTAATCTTGTGAGTGGAGGAAAGAACCGTATCGGAAATATTAATTCCTTCTTAATTATGCATGATATCTGCTGATATAAATATCCTTATTCATCTCAAATTCAATTTTCTTCAAAACAAAACTTAAACAATGTCAGGTTTTGTATTGATGAGCTGGGATTCTTTTACAGTAGGAGCATGTGACATGTTGGTAATAAATTCAAACAATAAATGTACAGCACACAGTCTACTTGTTTTAAAATAATATATTAAAAACAAGTCAAATGTATACTGAACTGCAAAGAAACGTGCAGTAATTAG